CCCTGCCCGGTTGTCCGTCCGCCGCGTGGGCTGCGAGGGGAGGGGGAACACGGGCGCGTGCCTCATGTGATCGAGCCTCCCCGCTCCGGCCGCCCCAGGAAGGTCCCGCGCTGTCCGTCCGGCGTGGGCGGGGAGGGCGGCAGGCAGAGAGGTTGTCGATGTGTGGGCAAGATGGGGTGTGAAAGACCACTACCTGACGGCGTACATATCCTCCCTCGGAGCGGCTGGTACCAGCAGCTGTGAGGGGCGGCGCGCCCGGGGCCGGGCGGCGGGCGCCCCGCGGGCGCCCGGCGCGGGACCCGGAGTGTGCTGTATGAGCGCGAAACGAAAAAAACTTGGAGAGCGGACGCAATGTAATTCACAAGTGAGTGCGGCTTTTGGTGCGCGGACGCAGCGTAATTTGCAGTTGATCGTGGTTCAGGGAGGGCGGACGCAGCGTAATTTACAAGGGGTCGTGGTTTTCGGAGCGCGGACACAGTGTAATTTACAAGGGATCGTGGACCTGGGAGCGAGGACGCAACGTAATTCAATATGGGTCGTGGCCCTGGGAGCGCGGACGCAGCATAATTTACGAGGGATCGTGGCCCTGGGGGGGCGGACGCAGCGTAAGTCATTGGAGAACATGGCCCTGGGAGCGCGGACACAGCGTAATCCACTGGGGAGCGCGGCCCTGGGAGCGCGGACGCAGCGTAGTTGAGGTGGGATCGTGGTTCTGGGAGCGCGGACACAGCGTAATCTACGTGGCCCTGTAAACGAGGACGCAGCGTAATTTAAAAGGGATCGTGGCCTTGGGAGCGCGGACGCAGCGTAATTTCCAAGGGATCGTGGCCCTGGGGGCGCGGACACAGCGTAATGTACTGGGGAACGTGGCCCTGGGAGCGCGGACGCAGCGTAATTCACGAGGGAGCGCAACCCTGGGAGCGCGGACGCAGCGTAGTTGAGGTGGGGTCGTGGCCCAGGAAGAGCGGACGCAGCGTAATATACGAGGGATCGTGGCCCTCGGAGCGCGAACGCAGCGTAATTTACACTTGATCGTGGCCCTGGGAGTGCGGTCGCAAGGTCATTTACGACGAATCCTGGCCTTGGGTCAGGGACGTCCCGCGGCACGTTCCCTGACGCGTTCCCTGGCACGTTCCCTGGCGCGTCGCCTGGCACGTTCCCTGGCACGTTTTGTGACGCGTCCCGTGGCGAGTCCCCCTGGCACGTCGCGCGGCGCGTCCCGTGGCACGTCCCGTGGCACGTCCATTGGCACGTTCCGTAGCGCGTCCCCTTGGCACGTCCCGCGGCGCGTCCCCATGGCACGTCCTTTGGCACGTCCTTTAGCGCGTCTCTTGGGACATTCCGCGGCGCTTCCCCTTGGCATGTCCCCCTTTCAATTAGCTTTGGGGCAGCTGCTATGTGCTCAGGCAGCTACTGTGTGCTTCGGTTAAGATCCAGATCAGTTCGGTCAGGACTCGGATGCAATGGGGATCTCGATCCACAACGCTACAGAGCACACTCGCGGCATGGCACATCGCAATTCAGCACGGCGCAGCACAGCACAGCCCTTGGCACGGTACGTCAAGATCGATACGCTCAGCCTTGCAATCTGGCACGTTCCGTGGCGCGTCCCGTGGCGAGTCCCCCTGGCACGTCGCGCGGCGCGTCCCGTGGCACGTCCATGGGCACGTTCCTTGGTGCGTCCCCTTGGCACGTCCCGCGGTGCGTCCCCATGGCACGTCCCCTGGCACGACCCCTGGCGCGTCCCTTGGGACGTTCCGCGGCGCGTCCCCCTGGCGTGTCCCCGTGTCAAGTCGCTCTGGGGCAGCTACTATGTGCTCAGGCAGCTCGAATTGAAGATCCAGATCAGTTCGGTCAGGACTCGGATGCAAAGGGGGACTCGATCCACAACGCTATAGAGCACAATCGCGGCATGGCACATCGCAATTCAGCACGGCGCAGCACAGCACAGCCCTTGGCACGGTACATCAATATCGATACACTCAGCATTGCAATTGCCCGTCGCCCAATCAGGTGTCTTGAACACGTTGCCATGCCTTACGTTTCTATCTTCCTTTCCGGGTTCGTGGGTCGATCATGATTCCGGAGGCGTAGCTACAGGAGGCCTAAAGGTGAAGTTGTTGCTTTGAAGCTTGTCGTGGGGGTTTGGCTTCTACTGCTCATCGACATGGCTAGGTTGTGGATCAGAGTCCTCAGGGAACCTTCTTGGGGTCTCTTCGGACCGCTCTCGGGGGCTTCTGAAGGGAGATGGACTTTTTTAGAAGCCTTGTCTGGTGGCCTTGGGCCCATTCCTCCACCGACCCGTGGCGCAGTCCGGTCGGCCAGAACAGAACAGTTCGTGGCCCTTGGGTTTTTGAGTCTCTTCGGAGAGCTTTGGGGAGCTCCTGGGGAGCAGTCTTGAAGCCTCTTGGGAGCCTCTTGGGGGCCCCTTGGGCTCTCTTGGGGCCTCCTGGGGGCCTCTGAAGGCAGAGGGCTTGAAATGTCGTGTCGTTTGGTGCTCCCCCTCTGGAGCCCTCTAAGGCCCTCTAAGGCCCCTCTGGTGCTCCCTCTCTTGGGGCGTTCTTGGGGCCCTCTAAGGCCGTCTTGGAGGCCTCTTGCTGTCTTGACGCCTTCCTGGGCCGTCTTGGAGCCCGCTTGGGGGCCTCTTGAGCCGTCTTGGGGCGATCTTGGAGGCCTCTTAGGCCGTCTTTGAGCGTCGGGAAGCCGCAAAGGCGAGAATGCCAGAATCCTTCAAATAACCGAGAAGAAGTATATTAACTATAGTTTTAGGGCCCTCTGTGCTCTTGGAGGACTCTTGGGCCGTCTGGGGGCCATCTTGGGCGTCTTGGAGCGATCTTGTGGTGTCCCTGACGCCTCTTGTACCATCGTGGGGGCCTCTTGGGGGCCTTTTGGTCCTTCTTGGGCCTTTATGGGGGGCCCCGAGGGCGGCGCCCAAGAGCAAAACCATCTCGACCTTGCCTGGGTACTTTTTGGTCAGGGACCCCCAGGGGCGGCCCCGCGCGCGCGAATTAGAAAGCTCTGAACCAGTCACCGGAGATCTTAGCACGCCTCTGGCCCGTTGGGCCCGCGAATTTCCCACGCCTGTGTAACAATCTCGTGATGCTGGTAGACACCGTTCTCCGATCTGAAATGACCATGATACGCCTTTCTTTGTTCCAAGGAGAATTATTTGGAAACTCTCTCTTGCAGTGGAGGTCTGTCAGTCTCCTCGTCCCTCCCCTCATGCATCCCCTGCCCCACCGTGCCCCCATCCCACTACTCAGTCACCAGCCCGTCGCCCTGTCCACCATCACCCCCTCATATCATTCCAGATCCTCTGCACATTTGCCCCTCCCTCATCCATTCCTCTGTCTTCTTCCTTCCTCCTGGTCCTCTTCTCATCCCCCTCTGTCGTACCTTCCCTTCCTCGTCCTTTCTTTCATCTCATTCCTCATCCGTCTGCCGGGCCTCCTCCAAGAGATACGCGCTCACCGTCACCGTCACCGTCATCCCTCCCTCCAATATGTTTCCCCCTCGTCCCTATCCTTATCCCCCCTCCCTTTTGTCCGTCTCATCTGTCGCCTTCTCATCATCCTCTCTATTTCTCCTCGTTCTCACCTCAACTCCCTGCTCCCTGCCGTTCCTCCTCTCACATGAGATAACATGTTGTCCCTCCATCCCTCATCACTCTAGCCATCCTCTCTCCTCGCTCCCCATGCCTCGCTTCCTTCTCCCCGCTCCCTCTTTGGTTCCATCCTTCCCCGTTTGTCGAACATACGTTCAGCAGTGGCCACGAAGGTGCGCAGCTGAAGCCAATTTTGGATGATGAAATGATGATGGTGGTGATGATGATGATGATGATGATGCTGATGCTGATGCTGATGATGGTGCTGATGATGATTATGATGCTGATGATGATGCTGATGCTGCTGCTGATGATGACGATGATGGTGGTGATGACGGTGATGATGATGATGACGATGATGATGATGAAGTGGCGATGACGATGACGATGATGATGATGATGATGATGATGATGCTGATGCTGCTGCTGATGATGATGATGATGATGATGATGATGCTGATGCTGATGATGATGATGATGCTGATGCTGATGCTGATGCTGATGATGATGATGATGATTATGATGATGATGCTGATGCTGATGCTGATGATGATGCTGCTGCTGATGATGATGATAATGATGATGATGATGCTGATGACGATGATGATGATGATGATGATGATGATGGTGATGGTGGTGGTGGTGATGGTGATGGTGATGGTGATGGTGATGATGATAATAATGATGATGATGATGATGGTGATGATGGTGATGATGGTGATGATGCTGATGATGCTGATGATGCTGATGATGCTGATGATGCTGATGATGCTGATGGTGATGATGATGCTGATGATGATGATGGTGATGGTGATGGTGATGGTGATGGATGGTGGTGGTGTTGGTGGTGGTGGTGATGATGATGATGATGATGGTGGTGGTGGTGGTGGTGATGATGATGATGATGATGGTGGTGGTGGTGGTGATGGTGGTGATGATGATGATGATGCTGACGATGATGGTGATGATGATGAGGATGATGATGGTGATGATGATGATGATGATGTGATGGTGATGGTGATGGTGATGGTGATGGTGATGGTGGTGGTGATGATGATGATGATGATGATGATGATGATGATGATGATGATGATGATGCTGATGATGATGATGATGATGATGATGCTGCTGCTGCTGCTGCTGATGATGATGATGATGGTGGGATGATGATGATGGTGACGATGATGATGATGATGATGATGATGATGATGATGATGATGATGATGATGCTGCTGCTGATGCTGATGCTGATGCTGATGCTGATGCTGATGCTGATGATGCTGATGATGCTGATGCTGATGATGATGCTGATGATGCTGATGATGCTGATGATGATGATGGTGGTGGTGGTGGTGGTGGTGATGATGATGAGGAGGAGGAGGAGGAGGAGGAGACTCTTCTCCCCCTCCCTTCCCTCGGCCCCTCTGCTTTCCCGCAGCCACGCTTTCTCTAGTGTCTGCCCTCATCCTGTGATCGCATCGCTTCCATAACAAACAGCGGCGCCAACCTCTGCGATGGCTGACTTGTCGGCTGGCCCGGCGCCCCCAATCCTGGAGGGCGGCCCAGCGAATTCGGAGGAGTCGCGAACAGGAGATGGATGTGTTCTCAACTTTTTCGGTTTTAATCTACGTGAGGGGTCCGAGATGTCGGGCTCGAGAACAGGACCTGGGTCGATGGAGGGCCCCCCACAGTTTGTCAAGGGTCGGTTCGGTTGAGCGGCGTAGGGCGCGGGCACTCGCGCCCAAGCTGCCCACGTAACACCGAGCGTCAGCGCCCTCTCTCTCCCCGTGGCGTGCCGCGCTGGCGGCCTGCGCTTCTCAACCCGCGAAAGACTCCCGCGTCATCGTGCTTGCCACCTCTTTTTTCTTGGCGGCGAGTGAGGGATCGGATCGACTCGGCAGGAGGACGCGTCAAGCATCTCAGCGCCGTCGGCGAGTGAGGGAGGGAGGGGAGAAGGAGAAGGCCTTCTGAGGAGGCGGTGGGGCTTCTCTGCAGCCCTCTGACCTCCTGAGGGGTTTCCGGTGTCTTCGGGGAAGGCTGAGAACATTTTTTCAGGAGGCCAGAGGACTTCCGAGCCTTCCGGGTAGGCCCGCCCCCTCTCGGACACTTGGTGGCTGTTGGGTCATAGCTCGGCTCCCCGGCGGCCGTTCGGGACGATCTGGGCACCCCTGGAACGCTCTCGGCGAAGCGCAGCCGCTGGAAAGCATCCCGTGGCTGGAGAACCGCTGAAAGCCTGCGAACACGCCCGAAAACATCAGAACTCGAGCCTTCCGAGAAGGCCGGGGGATTTCCCCGGGTCGGCGGCGCGCGGGCGTCGCCCGCCACGACGGCGACGACGACGCCGCCGATTGTTGCTCAGGCGGTGCTCGCTCCGGTTGAGGCGCCGGCGCCCGTGGCCGAGGCCCCAACGCCGCGGCCCCCAGCGGCGCCCTGCGGCGACGCCGCGGGGCCGGTGGTCGAGTATCCGAACCCGCTGACGGGGAGGAGCTCGAGTGCCAAAATCGCGCATGCATAAGTTCGGACCCTTCCACTTCTCGAAGAAGAAACGACGCCATAAACAATAACCCTTGGGCCCCCCCAGCGGCGCCTCCGGCGCCGCCCCTGGCGCGCTCCGCGCGCTAGGGAGGGGGGCCCAGCGCAAAACCAAGAAAGCCGAGCGGACCGAAAGTTTATGTTTCTGTGTTTTGTTCTTCATCTATCTTCGCAGTTAGAAATCATGACGGACGATTTCGTTGTCCTTTTTTCGGCTTCCAGGAGCGTTCCCCGGGCCCCGGGGTCGTGAAGACATGTTATTCGAGGCAGAAGACTGGCCTCGGGGAAGAGGTCGAGACCTCCCAGCTCCACGTTGTGAACATTTGCGTCCGCGCCCTTGGATGCACGTACTGCTCCCCCCCCTTGGCTGTTCGCCCCTGGTCGTCGCCTCCGACCGCAGGGCGCGTCGAGGGCGGCGGCGGCCTCCTGGGGCTGCCCGTCGTCGTCAGTTGTCCGTCGCGGATTCCTTGGGTCGGTCCTGGATCCTGGACCTCCCCCCCTTCTGCGAAGCCTCCAGCGCCGCCCGCGGCGCTGTCCGCGCGCCCATGGGTGGAGTATGCGGGGGGGGGATGCAGCCCCGTCCGCCAAGTGCGCGCGAGCATTGGCGAACACGGATGCTGGTGTTTCCATTCTCCAGGAACACGGTCAACCTGTCGCCACACTTCGTCGGGCGGCTTGGGGGGGCCTTCTCGTTCATGTGCACACTGACGATGGAGGGCATCGACAGCTGGACCCGCGTGTTCGACTTCTCCCTCCAGGCCGACGAGGACAGCATCACTGCAGGGGCCATCGATCTCACTCTCAACCTGCACTTCACCGTTTTCCGGGGCAAGAAGCCGATCAGCCTGCGAGTGGACAATTTCTTCGAGCTCGGAAAGGAGTTTACGATGCTGTGCACGGTCTCGGACTCGGGGCACATGAAGGTGTTCAAGGACGGGGTGCTCGCGGGCGAGAAGGTGGATGGCCTGGCGCCCCTTACCATGGACAGGCCGCGCATGTACCTGGGCGGCCACTTCCAGTTCAGCAACCAGACCTTCCGCGGCAGCATCAAGGACGCGAAGGTCTGGAATCGCGAGGTCTCCTGGCCGGCTCTGGCCGCCGTTCCTGGCAAGACCGCCGAGGACGCGAACGTCACGGGCGCAAAGAGAGGGTGAGCGGATGGGCGAGGGAGCAGGACGAGCGTGGCAGCTGTGTGGGGCAGGCCGGGGAGAGGGAGGCAGGAGAGGGAGAGGGAGCGAGGCGGGGAGAGGGAGGGAGGTGTGATTCGGGCCTCGGCGTGCGGAACGGGCTCCTAGAGGGCCAAAACGAGGTGAAATAGCAGCCGTCGATGTGGCGAAGGGTCTGAGGCCGTAGCCCCCGAACATCGACCGGAACATCGACCGGCCAAGGCCTCTCTCGCTACCGCCCACCAAACCACCCCAACCCAACCCGCAGGCCCCGATTTGTTCTCCATTTCCAGGTGGGGGGGTGTCGGGGAACATAAACAAAACACGTGTGGAACCCGTACCCTCCCAACCCGAAATTCGGGTCTTCGGGTCAGGCCTTCGGGTTAGGTTGGGGTGGTCTGGTAGGTAGTCATCTTGGGATGCGTTCTGCCCAGCATTTCAAGGCGTACCCGCTGGCGGCGACGACGTCTTCTCAGGCCCCCCCCCAAAATGCCTAAAACACGTACGTCCCGATCCGTGGAGGAGGAGGAGGAGGAGGAGGAGGAGGAGGAGGAGGCCAGACCCTCGCCCCTGGCCGATCATCCCTCGATCCTCGATCGAGAGGAGGGCTCTGAGCCCAGGCCCCCGACGTCGCGCTTTTTCCACAGAGTGGACCCCCAGAGGCCTCCACCCGCTCACAGGGACAGCTATTCCATCCCGAGCCCTTTTCCCGGCAAGGGCTCCAGCCCAGGGTTCTCTTTCTAGCTTGCGGGCCAGAGGCCCCCCACCAGAAGGGTGTCGAGCACTGGGCGTCTGGATTGGGCACGTACAAACACGTGTGCGGAGGGGGGATTCTCCAACAGGAGTCCCCGCACGCGTGCGTGTGGCACGTGCTTTTTCACGTGATGCTGGCCACGACGGGGCCCCTAGCGAGAGACTTGGCCCGCCGGATGCTTTACACGCAAATGCGTACGCGGAGGGGGGCCCAGGATGCCCCTGGCGCGCGCGCGCGGGGCACGTATTTTACCTGTCCACGGCCCCCAGGGGGGACCCAACGCGGTCCCGCTGGATTCTTCACAAATAACTGGCGCCGCTGTGCAGGAGGGAGGTGACGATGGCAAGAACGAGTGTGGAGGCACGAGTATGATGACGAGGAGGAGGAGGAGGAGGAGGAGAAAGAAAAAGAAGAAGGAGGAAAGAGGACTAAGGAGGAGGAGCAGGAGGAGGAGGAGGAGGAGGAGGATCACAAGGAGGATCAGGAGGATCGGGAGGAGGAGGAGGAGGAGGAGGAGGAGGAGGATCAGGAGGAGGATCAGGAGGAGGAGGAGGAGGAGGAGGAGGAGGAGCAGGAGGAGCAGGAGGAGCAGGAGGAGCAGGAGCAGGAGGAGGAGGAGGAGGAGGAGGAGGAAGAGGAGGAGGAGGTAGTGGTTGCAGCTAAGCAAAGGAACGTGTGGTACGCGCGTCATCAGAAAGTTTAACTAGTGTTCCTTGCCAGGTTCGTAGGTCCCTCAAGTTTGTGACGGTCCTGGGGCCAGGATGCGTCCTCTTCGTCCGAAGAGCACGCTAAGAGAGCTCCGTGACGCGAGGAAGTGAAGGGAATTGGAAATCACGCTAAGAGGAGGGGGATTGGGGGGGATCATTGGTCTAAACACACCCTTACCCGGGGTCAGCCAGGGTGAACAGGGGCGCCCGCGGGATTGGGCGTTTGCCGCTGTTCCCGACCAGCTTGCCGCGCGCGCGCGCTGGGTCAGCGCCCAGGCGTCGAGATGCATCGACGCATTCAATGGCTGGTTGTTTGGCTGTATCAATACGCGCTGATTTTTGTTGGGGGCGTCTGGGGGCACGGGGGTGCGAGCGCGGTTGAAGGCCGCATCGGAGTGGCGGCCCCTGCCCCGTTTGACACAAGAGGAAGATCCCCTCCCTATCCTGGCGACCGCTGCATCTGAGCTTGCCCGCAGGAGCGACGTTGCAATCTCGCGCTCCCGGGGGGGCCGCAGCGGCCGCGTTTGGTAGGGCTCTATGGGGCAAAACGTACATCCGAGGACGGTTTCGGCCACATGCCACTTCGATTAGGTACGGGTACGTTCCTGGGGGTACCGTCGACGCGGCGTCGACGCGGTACCCCCCGGCACATACCCGGACCTAGCTGGGGTGATTTCAGGCGGATTTTCCCGCGGGCACGCCATTGGTGACCACACCCAGCCTTCGGAGCCGTTTTGCCTTTGCATCGAGCAATGGTGATTTCCTGATTGCCTCGCGCTGACATTAGCGCCAGAATAGTTCGCATTCGCCCCCGAACGCGGCGAACCCCCCAAGCTTGAATATGTGCCACTGCAGGCGCACCTCCGAACGAATTGGTTTAGTTCGACAGAGATCAACGCAGAGTCGGCCGTTCCGCAGATTCGAACGCACGTGCACATGGCACCCATGGGCGCTTGGGGAAGGCAGCGCCCTGCAACGTTCAATCGGCCGTCCCTTCTACATTTGTGCAGCCGCTTTCGGCTGCAACGCGTCGCCCCCCCTGCCCCTGGCCACCCTGCCTAGGTAAGGGTAGGGGTGTCTTTGGCGATCGAGAGGGGAGGGGAGGGGGAGGGGGCGAGGGGGGAAGTGAGAGGGGGAGGAGGGGCGAGGAGGGGGGAGGAGGTGGGAGGGGGAGGGAGAGGAGGGGGGATTCGATTTCTCCACGCAGCAGCCGCACGCCCCAGCGAATCCCCCCCGCCTTCGGGCGCAGGGCGGACCACATCGCCCCGGGCTTCTCCTGGTGCTTGGTTGAGCCAATACGCCCAAGAGCGAGGCGAGGAACAGCAGTAGGACCTCCAGGGACGAGAGCACGGGGACCTCGACTCTGGTGTTGACCTCGTCCAGGCCGTCGATCTTGTACAGCCACGATGCTTAAATAAGGACCGCTTTGGATTCGGAAGGGGTTCGCTGTTCCTTAGGTTATTCCGTGGTTGTTCTTTTAGCCGTCATCGTGCACCAAAAAAGAGCCCGGCTCCTTACTTGGCGTTCCTTGTTGCAGCAGCTTGACTGCAGTACTCGTTCACTGATCTCACCAGATCAATCGCGCAGCCAACTTCCAGCTCGCTCATGGCCTCGAATTATCTGTCCAACATGTGTTGCTCCAGACTTGACCCAACATGATGATCCTGTGACGCAGGGGCCTCGACTTTATGGACAGCTCCAGTATGTCATTGCACTGCAACTCTCATCCACGTTGCTGTCCCGAGCTCTGGCATTCGAGGTCGAACAGCTCCAGCCTCACGGAGCCCAAACTAGCCCAGAAAACAAACACCCAATTCGGTGTTTATTCCCATTAATCTTTCGCCAAACGTAGGAGTCCTCGCAGTAATGCTCACGGGACTAGGCCAGAGCACACGTCCAGACGACTTCCCAATGTTTGTCGAATGCATCAGCTTCCATTCTCCTCGCGCGACATATCTCAGTGCATCTCGTAGTAATCTCGTATCGGTACACCACAACATCTCCAGGATATGCCTGTCCGGAGCTCCTTCCGGGTTTAGTACAGGTAGCTCACAACCGTCAGCGCCATCAACCACATTTGTCAGCTGTCTTTCCGAGAGCTCACCACTTTGCACCTCTGTCTGGAAGCCCGTCAACAACAGCACGTAGTCGCAACCGCCCGACAAATGACAAACAACTCTGTTTCCTGAAATCGAACTCCAGCGCGTTCCACCATCCACCGGGACCTGCGCCAATCTCTACGACCATGTAAATTGCGCTTCTCATGGCCGACGCCTTGTCATGTGGTTCGCGCGTGAATGTTGCATCTCCGACAGCAGCGAGCTTTACTGGCATCGTCAGCCCCTGGACCAACCGTGACAATGGATGCTCCTACATATACTTCAAGAAATCCATGCGTCGCACATGTCCAAGTCTTGGATCCCTGCCATGTCACTGTTGGGCGCACGCAATTATGCATAATGTCGATACGCGTCATCACACACCGAGCTATCGCACCCAACAGCGAAGGATACGAGCAATCATGTTGGCCGGAGGGATGTCGTCGTCGCTCTTGCGTATGATCGATGACTCATCGATACTCGATCTGGTCGACTTCGACGCTGTCGGAGTCCACAGATCTTGCCCGCGTACTTGAGGTCATCGAGATGCGTCGACAACACAATCAGGAGGATGTCTCTGCATGCAGTACCCATAGCTGAGATTCTGCATGCTTCGACTTCAACCCACAAGATGTCAACACCTCATCTCGATGAAGTCCGAACAAGCGCGGGGCGTCGGACCGCCCGAGCTGGGGGTCACGAATTCTGGGGCCCCTCCCGGGACACCCCCCGAGGACCACCCCCTGGGTCCCCCCCCTGGGACTCCGACCCCCCCGGCGGGGAAGGGACAAGAGAAGGGGCTCCCCTTCGACGCAATGACGACACTGTTCGATCCCCCTTGTTTGTTCCATCTCTCTCACGGCGACGACGATTCCAAGGGGTCTAGCGTAGTTCAGTCTGGTTTGGGCTGGCCTCCCGTCGAAAGCTTCTCACGCGCGCCGACTGGATGGGAGGATTTCTCCACGCCGCAGCCGCACGCCTCAACGTCGTCCTCGTCATTGACTCCTCGTTGCCGTCGCCTTCCTTTTCTTCTTCGCCCAATGCGCCCATTAGACTAAAGCGGCGCTTCCCGTTCTTGTCCGACCAGGTTTATCCACGCCGCAGCCGCACGCCGCAGCGAATCCTCCGCGCCCCCGTGCGCAGGCCGGGCCACGCCGCCCCGGGCCTCTCGCGGTGCACTGGCCCGAGCCAGCATGCCCGCGGGAGCGAGGCGAGGAGCAGCAGCAGGACCTCCAGCGACGGGGATTCGGGGACCTCGACGGGGGGAAAGGGGCTCCTCCTCCTCCTCCTCCTCCTCCTCCTCCTCCTCTGGGGAGTGGTGGGAGGGGGAGAAGTGGAAGGAGCGTGGGGAGGGAAAACGGGGGGCGGGGAAAGAAGGGAGCAGAAGGAGCAAGGATCAGAGGCTGGAGGCCCCGCCCGCGGAGGACCCGTGCATGGGGCTCGACGGTGCCCTGGACGCGGCGGCGGCGGAGCTCATAGTGGCCCAGAAGCCAGCGCCGGGTGCCGAGGCAGCAGAAGCTGCCGAGGCGGCCGGGGTGTGCCGAAGAGGGGGTGAAGGCAGGGAGGAGTCGGTGAGGAGGACGAAGAGGAGGACGAAGAGGGACGAAGAGGAGGACGAAGAGGAGGACGAAGAGGAGG